TATTCAGAAAAGAAGTTGACATAAAAACAAGATAGAAAAAAATTTAAAACAAATGGCTGGGATTTATAAAGGAAGATGCCACTAATCAACTATGTGATTTAATTAAGAGATATATAACTTCTCTCTGGTTCTCTTGCTCTTCCCTGCAAAATGAGTGGCTTGGAAAAGTCTCTAAGAGCCCTTCTAAGGATAAACAATTATGTTTATAAAAAATTACATTTGTAATAGAGCACCTGGACATAGAAGCAACTAATAGAATCTTGGAACCTCAGAGGTCATCTCATCTAAGCCTCAGTTCAGGGGTCCTTAAACTGAAAGGTGGGAGAGGGTGCCTGAACTATTTTTTTTTCCTTTTTAAAATATTTATATAATTGCATTTCAATATAACTGGCTTCCTTTGCAACATTATGTATTTTGTAGCATTATTCTGGGCAGGGATCTAAAAGATCCGTGACACTGCCCCCCCCCCCCCAAAAAAGGTTAGGAATCCCTGCCTTTTAAAGGAAGTGCCCGTTGTACACCATCTCCCACAAATGTCCCCCTCTCTCTCCTTCAATTTCTGAGGTTTCGGGGATCTCAGCCCCTCCCAAAGGAACCTAGGAGCTCTAAACCGTTTAGAAGCTGTTTAGGCAGCAATGTGGTCCTTGTCACACCCGGGTTTGATACCTCACTGACAGGTACGGACTGAGCTAAGGATGCCCACTACTTCCCCACCTCCCTCGCTTACCCTACGTGGCGCTGGACCTCGAGCCTCAGACACCTGCCAACTGTCTTGAAGGATGTGCCTGGATGGAAGTCTGACTCAGTTTCCTCATCTGTAAAACGGAGCCAATAAGAGACCCTCCCTCCCAGGATAGTGGTGTGGAGCAAATGAGATCAAGTTTGCAAAGCACTTAGCTCAGCGCTAGCAGTACCGCAGTATTAGCTCACTGCACGTAGTAGGCGCTTAATAAATGCTCGTTTCCTGCCTACCGGGAGGGGAGGGAAGTGGGGGGGGGGCTCCCTGCTTCGTACCCGGATGCTGGTTCCCAGGCGGGGCTGTCTCCGCATCTAGCAGGAGCCAGGCCCTCTGTGGGGAAGGGGGCGGCGGTCCCGGGGTTAGGAGTTAGGGGTCAGGGGTCAGGACCCTCCCCCAGAGAGCCGCACCCAAGGTTCAGGGCTCCCCGCAGGGTCTGGAGAAGCGGTCCCGGCCCGGGCTGCCCGGCAAGACGAGAAGAGTCGGCACCGCCGCGGGTTCCACTCACCTGCGCCCCCTGTCCATGGCCGTCGACCCCCTCGGGCCGAGGCCTGGGCAGGTTCCCGCGCGCGCCTCCGCCATTTCCCGCCTTTCTCAGCTCGGGAGAGAGCCGCCCACTCCACAAACAAATGAAACGCCCCCTCGGGGCCCGCGCTCCCGCCCCCGACCCTTTATTTGGCTCCTCCCTCCTCCCGCGAGATGCTGAATGCGCATGAGCGCGGCCATTTCCAACCTCTGCCCCGCCCCAAACCTTTAGCTACAGCATTCTAGCCGCCGCCGGGAGGCGTGCGCAGGCGCAGAGTGTCCCGCTTCGGAGCTTTCGGCCTTCCCCCCCACCCCAAGAAGATAGAAGATGACGGTAGGTGAGGGAGAGAGTAAAGGCGAGGAAGGGGTTGGAGGGGGGAGACGGAGACTACGTGCTCGCTCCTCACGTCGGGATTGGATTGGTCATAGATTCCCGCGGAAACTGACGTATTTGCCCACCCATTCTAAGACCCCACCCACTGCCTTTTTTTTTTAAAGTGACAGCCAGCGGAAACAAGGCTTAACTCCTAGAACGTCACCCCCTCCACTCCGCCTCCACCGAGGCGGAACTGAGACTCCGAGACCGCTTTGATTGGCGACCCAAGGTCATACCAATTAAAAAGTAGCAGACCTTGGACTTGAATCCAAGTCATTAAATTAAAGGCCATTCAGACCCATATCTCATTTCGGATCTCAGGGAACCAAAGAAAGAATGGGGTTCAAAGGGTGTGTTTAAAGCCGGTTGTTAAGTTTACAGTGTGAGCATTTAAACCTCAGAAATTTGCAAATACGACAAATCGGGGTTTGATTTATTGTTTTGTTAATTGATTAGACTTAAATTTTGTTGTGATTTTGGAGAGTCAGTGTTAAATATTTGTCAACATACCACTCACCTCTTTGCCTTTTCAGAGGCGTAAGAAGAGGGGTTATGTTACTTGAAACTGAAAAACAATTAGGCTCTTAGGAGGATAGACAGGGGGTAGCATGTGCCAGGCAAGTCAAACATGACCTTGACCACCATTTCCCCTCGGACTCTGTTGGAGACAGCCCAGCACCCTAAGCCCACGAGTGCCCCCCAAACCACCAGACCTTTCTGCCCACCCTTCACAGCCATCATTGAAAAATCATTGTGAAGATGGGGCCCACCTTCCTCTTCACCACCAGAAACAACAATCAAATAGGCACAGAAGCCCTGGGAGTGAGAACCCATCTCAGACCACTGGTCCTGCCTGCTCACAACCCAGTCCTCACAGTCATCATCAGGGGTGCTACTTCTGCAGAGAAGGGTCCTGCCATCCCTACCGCCTGCCACAACTCCCACACACAGGACAGGCAAGTCAATCCAGGAAAAGCATCAAGGCATTCTAGGGCAGAGACCAGGAGGCAGTATGTGCTGATGAGGATAGCCCAGGACCCTGGACCCAAGAGCCTTAGGAATAGCAATGCTTCCAACCCAGTACCTTTGGCCATCATCCTGGGAAGCAACCCCCTGTGGAGATGCAACCTGGTCCCACAGGTACTACAACCACAGGTACTGAAGACCCAGAAAAGAAGAGTGCTTGGCACTGTCAAATGGTTCAGCATCAGAAATTGGTATCATTTTATAATGACATTAAAGAAAAGACATCTGCTTTGCTGCTGTACCCTGAGAATCTTGGGAATTTTCCATCTCATTTGCAGCTGAACTCTTTCATGTGTGCTGTCTTTCTTACTAGAATGTGAATTCTGTGAAAGCAGGAATTTTCTTTTTTTAAATTTTTATCCCCAGAATTTAGCACAGTGCTTTGTACTAGTAAATATTTAGTAAAGGCTTTATTCATTCATTCAATCAATTAACTTGCCTAATATCATCAAATTAGTGCCAGAGTCTGGATTAGAATCCAGGTTTCTTAACTCCCAGTCAGGTGCTCTTTTCTGCTACAAAATGCTGTGCTTTGGTTTGACTTCTTGACCCCCAAGGTAAAGGGTTTATGGATCTTCTAATCCCTAAGCCAAGAACACAAAGCTTACCTGGCCTGACCTTAACAGATGTCTTCCTCCAGCCTCTCTGGGAATAATACTGATAACAATAATTGCTTTCCTTCACTGAAGGCCTTTGCCCTTGAACAATTCAACCTAAGTTCAGATATATACTCATCATCAGATGAGTTCCCTATTTCTGTCAAAAGCACCACCATTCTTCCAATATTATCAAGTTCATAATCTCAGAACTATCCTGGACTTCTAATATTTCCTTACCCCAAATAGCCAATCATTTGCCAAATCTTAACCATTTCTACCTCCACAGCATCTCCATAACAGCACCACAACATTCCTTCAATATCAACATATTACTCCCCTTTCTGTGCTCTGTGAGGTCAAACTGGCCTTCTCTGTTTCTTACAACACTCCATGTTGTGCCTTATCCTCTATGTGCCTTATCACTGGCTGTTCACCGTGTTTGGAATGTACTCCCCATTTACCCACACATCATAATTCCTCTTTTCCTTTAAGTATCTCATGCATCATCTTCATGAAGCCTTTCCTGATACTCCCAACTGCTACTGCCCTCCCTCCCAAATTACCTTGTATTTATCTAACGTATGTGTGTGTACATCTATATCTAGATATATATACACAGGTGTATATATTTATACATACAAATTATATATGTGTTATATATATACATTTGTTAATTTTATGCTGTGTATATTTTTATATGTACTCTCCTCCATTAGAATGTAAGCTCATTGCAAGTAGGGATTGTCTTGAACCTTATACTTGTATCACCAGTGCCTAATATAGTGGTACATAGTAGTTATTTAATAAATATATGATTGATTGATTGAATGGGAGAACAGTACAATAATTAAATCATGAACTGTTGAAATTTACAATTTTCAAAGCACTTTACAGGCTTGCTTCTCATTTGATCTTGACAACATTCTGAATTTGTTAACAAAATTGTTATTTTGATTTTTAAGAATGAGGAATCTAAGGCTTTTTGAGGTTGAGGCTAGAGCTGAATTTAACAAGATGACATTTAATAGGGTTAAATGTAGAGTTCTACTCATGAGTTCAAAAAATCAAATAAAGAAGGAAGAAAGTGGGATTTTGCATTAAAAAAAAAGATATAGAGGTCCTAGAGGTCAACGAGCTCTGTGAGTCAACAGTGTGACATAGAAGCCAAAAAAGTTAATGAAATCTTAGATTGAATGTAGTAGAGAGGTCAGAACAAGGGAAGTGATAATTCCCTGTACTCTACCCTGGTCAATTAACATCCGGGGTATTACCTTATGTTCAGTTCTGCAGACAAGATTTTACCACAGACTTTTGACACACTTGTGCATCTACAGAGTAAACAGCATGTTGAGAAAATTGGAGAACATGCTAAATGAACACCAACTGGGAAATAAATAGTGTTTATCCTGGGAGGGAAAAAGACTCTGGGAGAGAGAACACGATAGCTACCTAGTCTGTGATGAGTTATAAGGAAGAAGAATTAGGCTAACTCTGATTGGCTATGAAGGAAAGCAAGGAACAATAGGCGGAAGTTTGAGAGAGGCAGTTTTTGGCTCTGTGGGAAGAAGAATTTTGTAAACAATAAGAACTGTTCCAAGTGGAGAGGGCTGCTTCAGGAAGTGGTAGGTTCCCTTTCAGTGGAGGTTCTCAAGGAGAAGTTGGATGACTTCTTGCCAGGGATGTTGGAGAAAGGATTCCTTCTCAGATAAGGTTGGACTAGCTTACCTCTATAGGCTCTTCCAACTCCGATTTTTGATTATTAGGTGATTTGTCCAAGGCCACAACCAGTGATAAGAGTTGGATTTTCAATCCAGTTCCTCCCTGTCCTTGTGAAATTAGAGGATGGTAAGGAGGGTATAGAGCAGTCCCACTTCCCCTTCCCTGTGGTTTTACCAGTCCACTCCCATCATCCAGTTTTTGGTAGGGGAATGTTGGTTAAGGGCTGAGGACGGGGAGAGGCCATTTGGACCCTGGCACTGTGGGCACAAAGCATGGAGACAAAATAGAGGTGCCAGTCATATCATGTCTTTGAGAAGAGGAATGTACCCTTGATGGCCTCTTCCTCTTGCCAGGTACCAGTCCCTGCTCAGGTTATCCAGGTAAAGAAAATCACTGATGGGGAAATTTCATATGTCCAGGGAACACAGGTTTAGGGAGGCGTCCAGCCCTCCTCACAGAATACACTGTCATCACCCAAAACATTGTCATCATTGATATCATGGTTACTAAGAGTGATCTCATATGCTGGGGGTGGGGTAAGAGGCTCCAAACATGGCAGGCTTTGCTGTGGGGGTGTTTCAGACTCTGTTAGGTGTCCCTGAAGCCGGAGATCGATTGGGGTGCCCAAAGAGCCTTCTCTCTGGGTCATTGTACCTTCTGACCTTCCCCGCCTGAGAGCTCCTGGTAGTGCTGCCAAACGGTTAGGTTCCTCTTCCTGAAGCGGTAAAGGGATCACAGTGCTGTATGGTGGGGGCTCACCCAAATCTGAGTTGGGGCCCTGAGTTGATACCACAGCTTCTTCATAGCTTGGTACTTCGAAGGCTGCATTGTCCCTGAGAAGGAGATACATAGGATCAGCATTCCATCAACCAACCCCTGGGAGATCCTTGGGGTTCCCTCACGCCCTTTCACTAGTTCCTCCCCTTTCTGAACCCAGTCACATAGGGAGCAGGTCAGCCATATCTGAGACATGGGAGCAAGGTTGGTGGAAGGAGCCCAAGGCATATATGTGCCTCTATCCATTCTCCTTGCCCCCAATTTACCGTGCTGCGCTCAAGGCCCCAGAGGTATCTGTTGGCATTGCCTGGAGCCTCCATTCCTTGAAGTGAAAAAGGAGGCAGATAAGGAGAAGAAGTCCACCTAAGGAGAGGAAGAAATAAGCAGCAGGTTTGATGTCCGGCTGCAGACCCAACAGAATGAACCCTATGAGGGTGGAGGTACAGCACAAGAGGGTCAATGGCTTCCCCAGTTTCTTCCACACTTGGCCTGGAAACATTGCCCCTGCCTGGGCTTCTGAAAAAAGAGAGGCAAAGGAACATTCAGAGAACAGAAGAGCATAGACAAGGAGTAACTAATATGATGCTATAGCTATGGTTACCTAGAAATTCATTTAAACAATTGTAATGGTATACTTACTTCTGTTGTTTAAAGTCCAGGGCAGAGTAAATTGCTTAAAATTTTTTAAAAAAGACATAATTGCTATGTCTATACTAGTAGTCAGAATTAGGACCAAGAGAGAAGCTTTGGGAGGGTAGGGGAGAGGAGTGGAAAATGGTGTCAGATACTAGGTGGACCATATTTTGCATTTTTATACTCGATTAGCAGAGGACTGGGATAGATTTCAGAGGATTCATTAACTTGGGATAAAAAAAAACCCAACATATTTGTTTCCACTAACCTCTAATTGAAATTTAGCATTTCCTCCAATGATACAAAAACATTATCCTGAGAAGGGGTCCCTAGGCTTTACCACCCTGCCAAAAGAGGCCATGACACAAACAAGATTAAGAACCCCTGCTCTATACCAATCTCACTATGACGGTATGGGTGAGGATACGGGTCTGTGTGACTAATAGTCACAACACTGTCAATTTTACAGAGAAGAAAGTAACCCAGAATGTCTTTCACAGCCCTGACACTAGGTAATCATATCTACCCCCGTTGATTAAATATGTGAGGCTCCAACATTCCCTGGTCAGAACCCCCAGTCTCCTTTCCCTTCCTTTCCCCTTGGTAGCCCCAATTCTCTCTCCCTTCCGGTGCTCTGGACGCAGCAGACATTGCCTCAGGCCTCAATGCACACAGGCATCTCTGGAATCTAGGCAAGGGGGCCTGATTTCCTTACTGGATAGATTCCCTTTACTACCCTTCCCCGCTACTTCCCCACCAGCACATATGCCAGTTTCTCAGTCCGACTCCCCTCTCTCTCCTCAGTCTCTGTCCCTTTTGGGTGGGGTTCTAGTCCCCAACCCCCCCCCCCAACATACTGTGTCAGCCAGGCTCCACCTACAAGGACAAAGAGCCAAGTACAGGGATACATGATAGGGGATCTTTGAAAAAACTAGGACATATAGAAGCCCAAAGTCTTTCTCTTTTCTTATCTCCATATCTGCCTATGCCCCCTTCCTCCAGAATCTTTCTTGAGGTCAGGGTCCTTGAGTCCCACCCAGAATCTAGCACACAAAACCCTTTCCTTATTGTCCAGGTAGGACTCCAGCCCACTGCAGAATTCTACATCCTCCCCCTCCTCACCCCTACAACCAAATCCAGTAGCTCCAATGAGCAGGGAACCCTTGGTCAGTGAAAGGGACCAAGAAAAAGGGATGGTTACCTCCCCCATCCCCCAAGTTAGAGGTTTCCTTCTTTCTTCATCTTCAGTCACCAGCCACAGGTACGTAGGTATACCTCACCTGTCTTTGGCCAGTCTCCTCTGAAATCATGTGGTATTAGGGGAGGAGTCCACCAGCCCCACCCCCTTCCTTTGCCCCAGTGCCACGGGCTCTTATCTCGGCTGGACACCCCTACTTTTTCCTCCTTCTTGAACTCTGACATTCAGCCGCACCTCCAAGTATAGTTCTCCAGCCTCTACCTCCACGCTCTAAGAAGCCTTAAATGGGAGTGGCTTCTCTACCCTTACTGCCCAGCTCTTTGCACTTAGGGGCAAAGTGTCCTCTGTCTCACAGTAGATTCATTCCCTGACTAACTACAGCAATCCTGTCCCGCATGACCTCCGGGTCCTCCAGGTTCTGTCCTTTACAATAGTAAACATTGCCCTCTTCAGACTAGGGTTAGATGAATACAGGGATCATTTATTGGTCAATCTGAAGGGGGAAAGAGGGTGGAGTGGGGGAAGACTGAAGGCCCCTGCCTGGAGTATTTGCTGTCCAGACCTGCATAAAGAAAACAAGACTCCCTGTACTCCAGGAACAAGTGAATATCGATGAAGAAACTAGGGTTCAGAGGGGCATATCAGCTTCAGGAAAACTAGCCCAAGCTCCCAGAGTTAATCTTCCCCTCTTCCTCTCTCAGGGTATGTATCTGGGATAGAAGGGGAAGATGATGATGATGTTACATGATGCAGTAGAAAGAATACTGGCTTTGGAGTCAGAAAATATGGATTCAAATCCCATTTGGGATTTGAAGTCCTAATACTTGTCACCCATGTACCTTGGACAAGTTACTTAACTTCTGTAGGCCTCAGTTTCCTCAATCCTTAAAACAAAAGGATTGAACTAGATAATGACTTCTAAGGTTCCTCCTAGTTCTGAATCTATGCTCTTGTCCGTGTTCCCTTTTGGGGTGGTAGAGAGGGAAGGTGAGGCCTAAGAGAGTTTGGGGGTGCTGGAGGGAACCCCATTAGGCTATATGTTGTGCTCTTTCCCCTCCTCCCAGTCTTCCTATCCCCTTGGCATGATGTGTGTATTGCTGGACTCTTTCCAGCCACAGGAGAGAATCCTAGGGAAGGGTACATTGGAGGGTGTATGTTGGCTAAATGACAAGTAAAACAGCTAGAGCAGAGTGAGTGCTGGATAGGAAAAGGAGAGGCTAAGGGGAAGGGAGGGAGCCAAGGGCCTTAGGAATAAAGGGCTGACTTTCTGTAAACTGCTATGTTCTACCAGTATAAGGTTTTCTTGTCTAACAGTGTGGGGGATCCTGTTGATCCCTCTATGTCTCTCTTGTCAAATGGGGAGAGGGAGAGTTGGGGCTGGTACTTCCTTAGGCATTTTTTTAGAAGAGAATTTGAAATAACCAACCATCAGATATGACAGATCATGTCCCACCTCCCTGAGTCCCCAACTCCTTTTCCTAACTAAACTCTCATCCCCATCTCAACATCCCCACCAATTCTTGACAGTCTCAGCCTCCCTCCTTCTCACCTTCTGACTTTTTACATTCAGATCTGCCTGCTTCTTCCACCCTTCAAAGGGTTCAGCTACTGAGAAGGGAGAGGAGGAGGTGGTGGTAAAGCAGAAAGCCTGAAAAGTCTGGGCTGAGAGAAGAAGGGAGAGAGGAATTCATTCCTTCCATGATTCTGCACCTCTTTTTTTGGGGGTGACTCTGTTGTTTTATTTTTTTGAGGTGTAGGCTTATCCATGCTTTTATAATGAAGTGCCTTGTCTTGTCTTTCTTACTACATGTTGTAGTCTGGAGAGACTGTAGGTCTGGGGTCTCTGAGTGTGTTTGACTGCTGAATGACTATTATATAGGCTCAAAGTGACACAAGGAATGTCTTTTTGTAACTGAGTTATCAGCCTAAATCTGAGTTTCTCTTGTGTCTATCTCCTGGTGCCCTTTATTCAAAGTGTGGGGCTGGTGGTAGGAGGTGACTGGCTGTTCTGTGACTGTCCCTAGCTGAGTTTTATCACATTTCAGAGCTGGAGGAAACCTTAGAGATCATTTTGTCCAAATCTTCTCATTTAATAGATGAAGGAGCAAAGGCTTAGACCACTGAAGAGATTTGTCCAGGTTTAGAACAACTAGTGAAATCCAGGCCTGAGCCCTTGTTACCACCCCCAGTTCAGCATTCTTCCCGATGGGGAACCTATGGCCTTCTAGGTCCTTGGGTACAGTCTTTTGACTGAGTCCAAGTTTTACAGAACAAATCCTTTTTATTAAGGGGATTTGTTCTGTGAGGTTTGGATTCAAAGGGCCCCACCCCTGTATTGGACTCGTTATTTTATGAAAAGTCTCATAGTTACCTTGCCTAGCCTTTTACTATCTTCTCACCTTCAGTTTCTGCTCCCTAGAGGCAGCAAGGTGTAATGAAAGAAGCACTAGATTTGGACGGGAGGGCCTGGCTTTGAATCCTGGTTTTTCTATTTACTACCTTGTAACTTGGGGCTGGTGACTTCTTCTAGGCCTCAATTCCCTTATCTGTAAGATGTAAAGGGTGAAATAAATGATCTCTAAGGTCTGCCAGATTTAAGTTGGTGTTCCTATAATCTTTCCTACCCATTGCTGCCAGATTAATTAATTTTTCTGGTGTGCAGATCTGATCAAGTCATTCTGATGATAAAAATATTCAGTGGCTTTTCATTGTTGACAACATAAGATTCCAAACTCAGCCTAGCATTCAAAGTCCCCCACAAATCTGGTTCCAGTCTTCTCTTCCACTCTTCCTCACTTAATTTATGAGTAAACTATACTAATCTCCATCTCCAAAATATCCAACTAATTTTCTAATCTCCATGCCTTTCTTTATGCCATTTCTCTCACTTATAATGGACCACCTCTGATTTCAGACTGTTGAAGTCTGGGAGCCTTTAAGGGTCAGCGGAAAGTCTACTTACTCAATGAAGCCTTTCCTTAGCATCTTAGCTAGGAACGATTTCTCTCTACTACGAAATTTCATAATTTATTGATATTTTTTTTTCTGGCTTACTTTGTATTGTGGTTGTTTATGTGGGTGTCGTCTCATTTAATAGATTATAAACTTCTTGAGAACAGTGACTATATCGAGGGAGATGGTCTATGTCTTATTTAGCATTGTTATCTTTTCCAAAATTATCGTAATGAATGGATGAAAGAAGGATAGTTCCTATCCTGTATGATAGCCATTCTTGAATTCAAAGGGATTAATGTGAAGATCACAAGACCCAAGAGAAAACTGAACTCTCCCACTTAACAAGTTGTGTGACTGGAACAAGTCACTTAAAGTAGGACTCTGTTTCCTCATCTTTAAAATGAGAAGGATGACTCTCTAAGCTCCCTTGCAGTTCTAACAATCTATGATTCTATGATTGAGGACTGGAATAAATGCCGAGAAAAGTGCAGATGGGTTAGGGAGTGGGGGGTAGGAAGTGCCCAGTAAGACGGTCTCCTGGTTTGACCACCTTCAATTCCTGTGCCATCTGTTTGTCCCTGAGCCCTATATTTCTCTGTAACAATGGTCATTCCTCTGACAACAGCCATCCAGGTCTGCTTCTCACAGTATAACCTTAGATAAATTACTTTCTCTCTCCCGGCCTCAGTTTTTATGTATGTAAAATAAGGAGGTTGGACTAGGAGATCTCTCAAATTCTCTCTAGCCCCAAATCAAATGATTTTCCGATCCACACCCATGCACCACATTTATAAATAGGTGAGATAAGGTTAAAATTAATTTCAAGGGTAATCACAAGAAAATAAATTTGGAAAAAGACAACTTACGGGCTGAAGGATGTGTTGCAAGATAGAAAGGCAGTCTGCAATGATCTGATTTGATGTAGGTGGGTGTAGAGGATGAGGACACTGCTTTAGGTCGATTGTATTTTATTCCAGCACCAAATGTACTCTCATAAAGAACACTATGAAAGGTGATCTCAAGGCTTGACAGAAGGCTGTGCCCTAAGGAAGAAGACTGTCCAGATCTCCAGATTTCTTGAACCTGACCCTGCTTCCTATTTTGTTGTTATTTCTGTCCCTTTCGTCTCAGATCCCTTATTCCACACTCACAACCTTTGGTTCCTGCTCTGTCCCTAACCTCTAGTCATTCCCCATCTTCCACCTCTGCCCCTCCACCAATACACAATCACAGAAAGTCAGAATGGGAAGGGAGTTCAAAAGCCTTACAGTTCAAACTATTGCCTGAAAAACAATGCTTCTATATGATACATGACAAGTGGTCATCTAACCTTTGCTTGAAAACTTCCGGTGAGGTAGAAGCAGATGGTGTCGTCCCTGAAATGTTCCCCATTTTATCCAGTCTACATCTCCTATGTAGTTGTTTACATGTGGTCTCTCCTATTAGACTGTGAGTTCCTTGAGGACAGGGACTGTTGTTGGTTTTTTGGTTTTTGGTTTTTTTGTTGTTTTTTTTTGGTGGGGCAACGGGTTGGCTTTTCTTTGTGTGGCTTAGCTCAGTGCCTGGCACATGGTAAGCACATGGGACTCTAAGCTTCATACCAATGGGCTTTTGGACACAGGTAATACTTAATAAATGCTTGTTCGTTGACATCGAGCCCAAACTTCTAACCACTGCTCCTTGTTCTATACCAGCAGAGGCCAAACAGAACAAATTCTAATCCCTTTTCCAAATGCTTCAAGATAACCATTATCTCTCTTAACTTCTTTTCTACAGAATAACCATTGCTAGTTCCTTCAGCAGACCTTCATATGGCATGTTCTCTAGGCCTATTATCATCCAGGTGGCTCTCTTCTCTTCAATCTCCAGTTTATTAGTGACATTACTAAAATATACTGACCAGAATTTAATGCAGTACTCCATCCTGCCTTTTGTCTCCAACATCTCCACTCCATCAGAATTAGGAATCCATTCCTGTCTCTTCTCTCTGATAGGTAAGAATCTGGCCTCAGCATTTACTAGCTGTTTGACCCTGGGCAAGTCACTTAATCCCTGTCTGCCTCAGTTTCCTCATAAGTGAAAGAGGGGTAATAATAGCACCTACCTCACAGGGTTGTTGTGAGGATCAAAGG